GGCAACAACACCTTCACTGTAAACTACTTGCTTTGGTTGGGAAGTGTTGTAGAAAAAAAATTTAAGGACATGTTAGAATTATCATAACACATAACATAAAATTAACAAATAAGAAATTAATGATTTTCATTGCAAACTTCTTACCTGACCAATCTTGACGGACCATTATTGGGCATTGTTGATTGTCAATATTCAGTGCAGTCAGACTCAATAGGTCTGTTTGATACGTATATAGCGATGGGAGAAGACCATTCCATCATATTTACAATGTCGTCATCATCATCAATACGTATCATATTACTATTACTTAGTAACCTTGTGTCAATATACCTAATAGTCATGGTACTTTGGGCATAATTTTATATTTTTCACAAGTAATCCTTTACTTGGTCAAATGATGGGATCCCTTTAAAAAATATAACCTTCACAACCCCATCATCATAGAAAATACATCCATCATTAGATTTCCTCTTGAAAAAACACCAAAGTATACAACGATTTTCACTCTGTTGTCACCCATTATTGTTATGTACAAGCTCAATCACTACATAGAAATTTCATATGGAAACAAATATAAAATACTTGTAAGAAGTTTCAAAATACTTACATATAATGAGGAGGTTGCATTATAGAGGGACATTGATTGCAATATAGATACCAAAATATAAATAAAATTACAACGGCCAAGCCAACTACTTCAAGTATTATAGAAAAATATTATTTTGATGGCCAACCATTAAATAAATCTAAAACTTATTTATGCAACAATATAAATAAATCTTAAAATTATTTATGTAATATTATAATCAAACTATATCAAGTACTATAGAAAAACAACATAATATATTGATGACATACCTATAAATAGTGTTGGTGTGTATATTTGATGCTCTCAAAGACCTCGTTCAAAGATCACTTGTGAAAATGATAAAATGGAAATGTATATAATAGATGATATGATGAAATTGGATGAGAGAGATAGAAAATGGATGAGAGAGGGAAGAGGCTAAGAAAAAAGAAAATGCTAAAGAAATCGTGAAAATAGGGTTTTATGCAAAAAAAATGGTAAAAATAAAAAAGGCAAGAGAAAATTACACTTATTTTAATACCGTATAATATATCTAAAGTATTACGGTAGATCGATTACCATAATTGAATGTTATTACATTATAGTAATTAAAGTACCGTATAAAATGTTTTAATAATTACGGTAAATAAATTACTGTATAAATTGGCTAGTCATTACGATATTTAAATTACCGTAATGTTCTTCATAGTAAAAAGACTACTGTGAAAGTCATTTTTGGCCAAAAAACCCAAAAATAATGAGAAAAAGTGTAGTTGAAATTTTTAAAAGTTTTGAAGTTTTTTTTCAATTTTATGAAAATATAAGTATATTTACAATAATTTTCCAAAAAAAAACACTGGATTTCACAACTGAAACGTGCCCTAAAAAGGAGCAAGCTATTAAACACTTTATAGAAGTGTCGTATGCATATCTAGAAGTAGCACCACACGTGTCCATGTCCGTGGCAACGTGTAGTCAAGCCCTAGGATACACATGCCCATGTTTCATGGGTTATGTCTAGCTACAAAATGAAAGCGTTTGGGATGCCATGAAGACCAAAAAGGATTTGTTTGGTCCTTTGGGGAATAAAATAGAGAAGGAAAAAGAAAAATTATGCATGGATCTAAAAACAAATGCAAAATTACTATATGATCTATATTTTACCTAAGTTTACACATTGGTCCCTTTTTCTTTTTTTTTGGTGTTTTTTAATTCCAAATTTGCCTTGATTCGATGTTGACAACATCAAATTACTTTTCTTTAACAAAATTTTATTTGTTGATCTTTATGGTGATACAATACCCTAGAATTTGTTTCGCCTGATATTTAGAGTGGCTTGATGTTCGCTATATTGAACCACCCCATGTATCAATCTAGTTGAGTGTGGGGCAATTAAACGTTGGTGAAATTAAACCCTTTTGCGGTTCGAATTTTTGTGAAGTATAGGATAATTTGATGTTAGGGATGACATCGAATCACCCCTACTTAAAAGAGATCCTAACATGTCGAAGGCCTAAGCGTAGGATTTTTCAGTGGATGTTACACATATTGAAATTAATAACCAATCTAGATTACGGAAACATATCCAGTTGTGCTTTGACCCTGGATCAGACATGGAAGTTCTAGAGATAACATGTGGTTTGATTTTGGTGACACTAGTTAAAAAAACAAAATCCTTAAACTGGCGGTAGTTCGAAGTAACCAATATCAAACCACCCCATCTTAAAACAAATTCATAAGTATGCAGCAACTAGATATCAATATTCATATGGAGCAAGTTAGATATCAAAACACCAAACTATCTTATACTAGTCCAAATATGGAGCGTTTTGAAGTTGCTAATGTAGCGGGGGCGGTTCATTTCTGAGGAGTCGTACCACACTAGAAATCACAAAAATAAAACTCTCTTACAAAAAGTACATTGATAATGCCAACATTATTGAAATTAAAAAAAAAAAAATTTGAGGTAAAACTGAAATAAACCAAGGTGGTAACAATCAATGTTATTAAATTTACTTCGCTTCAGCTGAAGAGGTGAAAGCCTTCGGATTTTAAGCATAAATCGAAGTGAAGAAAAGTGTGGTGCTGCCGCTTCAGTCAGATTCGGGCTGCTTCGAGTCTGTTTCGGCCGAAGCTTCGAGCTGCTTCGGTCAAAAAAGAAATACCTATATAAAAGTATTTCTTTTTACTTTTTTTAGCTTTTTTATTATTTTTAGTTTTTCATTATTTTATATGTAAAAATCTAATTTATTTATATTAAATTTTTAAAAAAAAGTTCAAAGTTTCCCCTCGAATCTGCCGAAACACCGAATTGCTTCATTTTCTCACCAAACCGAAAAAAATCCTAAACAAATTTGACGGTAAAAATATGAACCATGCGATAATTTCCACATTTGTTTTGAAATCTATACGTGATTTTTCACGAGGTTTTGGGCACTTTAATTATTAGTTTCCTACTATAGAACATGCCATTTTCGTAATTTCAGTGCCTAAAAAAGGCAACAAGGTTTACTTTCCCCCAGTGTTTTAAAAAACGTCGAGCCGAACCGGACTCGCCCGGTTCGACTCGGAAATCGCAAAAAGTGGATCGTATCGGCTAAAAAATCGAAAATCGTCCGGTTCTAGAGAGAACCGGACGATTCTGCACAGTGACTTGCCTAGTCACTGTGCGGAATCGGCGAGTCCGTGAAGAACACGGGTTGCACAGTGTTCTTCACGGGATTCTTTGAAATTTGTCATTTTTTGATCATTTTTCTTGTTTTTTTTGGCATGTGATCTAATTTGCAAGCTGTAAACAGCTTTATTCAGCTTTTTCAAGGATTAAATGGTTGAAAAATTTGGTGTTTTTGGATCACGAAACTTGCTTTTTTAGGGTTTCCCCCTTTTCTGAAAGTTTCATGCCAAATAGGGCATGAATCTTTCAAAATTTGTAGGCATTTTGATCGTAAAGCTGTGAATCAGAACTTTTTGTTACTAATTTGTGATAATCGTTGAGAAAAACAGAGTTTTTTGGAGATTGAAGGCTTCGGTTCACAAAATCAGGTAAGAAGTTTGGGTTTTTTTTTTTTCCGCCATTTGATTTATTTCACGGCATATTTTGAACATAATGAGATCAATAATTAGGGTTTTTAATCTTTGTTGTGGCTAGTATGATTTAAAATTTTCAATTTTACGTAATCTGGTCAATTACAGCATGAAATTTGAGATGAACACTGAGATGTCTGCGGAACCAAAATTCCATTGTTTTTTTTTTTTTTCGCCTTTTGATTTTGTTTTCATGATATATTAGAAATAATGTGTTAAAAATTTAGGGTTTTGATTCCTTATATTGTTGTTTATCAGAAAATATACTCAATTGGATGTAATTTATTCACTTAGAGGTGGATTTTTGAGTTAAAATAGTTATGTAAAATGGCTCTGTGAAGAACAATTTTTTTTTTTTTTTTTTGTAATCTATGATCGGA